TCCATTGCGATCTCATTGTCGAAGTGTCCAATGTTGCACACAATGGCGTTGTTCTTCATCTTCTTCATGTGATCCAAGGTGATGATCTTGAAGTTGCCGGTGGCAGAGGTGAAAATGTCAACCTCGCCCACGACCTCCTCAATCGTCACCACCTGGAAGCCTTCCATGCACGCCTCACGGCATTGAGTTAGCTACTGTACCACTTCAAAAAAGGGTGTGGTGTGTGTGTATATATATATACACCGCTTAAAGTTACCTAAATGGAACAATTGCCTTCACGGCACTCGGACCACTCGCACAAAACAAGCAATCACATGTACTGTACCAAATGCCCTTGTGAACACCAAACAAGCCACAAATGAATGTTCATCTGACAAAAATGCATCCTGCCTGGAGAGCGCAAATGGGGTCAATCTCAGTGATCAGCACACGGGCACCAGCACCCCTCATGGCGAAGGCGCATCCCTTTCCGACATCTCCGTAGCCCGCCACGAGGGCGCGCTTTCCACCAATCATCACATCAGTGGCACGCATGATGCTGTCAGGCAGAGAGTGGCGGCAGCCATACACGTTGTCGAACTTGGACTTGGTCACGCAGTCGTTGACGTTGATGGCAGGGAAAAGCAGCTCACCCTTGGCCGCCATCTCGCGAAGGCGATGCACACCTGTGGTGGTCTCCTCACTGACACCCTTGCACTTGGCAGCCATGCGGGTGTACTTGGTCTTGTCGGCCTGGATGGAGTCCCTCAGCACCTGCAAGACACACTTGAACTCGGCGTTGGTGGTGCTTGCAGGATCAGGGAGGCTGCCATCCTTGGCAAACTTCGCCTCCAACTCCTTGCCCTTGTGGACGAGCAAAGTAGCATCACCTCCATCATCCACGAGCTGGTCGCAACCATCAGCACCTGGCACCGTCATCATCTGCTCAGTGCACCACCAGTACTCTGGCAGGGTCTCTCCCTTCCATGCGAAGACTGTCGCAGTGCCAGCCTTGGCAATGCCTGCAGCTGCATGGTCCTGGGTGCTGAAAATGTTGCAAGAGCACCAGCGCACTTTGGCGCCCAAAGCATGAAGGGTCTCAATGAGGACACCTGTCTGGATAGTCATGTGGAGGGAGCCGTTGATGTTCAAACCCTTGAAAGGCTGCGCTGGTCCAAACTCCTTCCTTGCTGCCATCAGACCTGGCATCTCATGCTCCGCCAAAGTCAACTCCTTGCGGCCGAACTCGGCAAGGCCCATGTCCTTCACCTTGGAGTCTGCCATGATGCTAGGGAGTTTGTCTGTGAAAGGTAACTTAACCAG